ATTTAACTCAATGTCCATCCAAGTAGTTTTAAAGTGCACCAATGATCTCTACTTTAAAAGAGCTAGCCATACTCATCACTCATGTATTGCCTAAGAGCTAAACCTTCAATGTAATAGCAAGAAACCAATGGAACTCAACTCTTTAACATTCATTAAGTGTTTAGTGAACTCTCTCAATCAACTTAAATCACAAACCAATGGGCTAGGTGTCAAAGAGGCTAAGATGACTTTTAAAGTGAGGTTTATTCAATTTCTCTATGGTTTTCACTCATGAAAAAGGGATGCATAAGCTAATTGCAAAAGTAAGAAGAAGAAGAACAATTCATACATACAAGTATTCACTTCCATGTTCTACCCTTCCCTAGTTATATATCTACAATCCCAAACCATAAATATTAAATCCAAAACACTTCTCTCACCCCCAAACTCACTCTTTTCACCATTTCATTATTTAGGAGCTATTTCTTATTACATTGCTCTCTTTTCTTTTATCCTCTTTATTGTTTTTTTTTTTAGAATATCATTTCCTTTACTAGAGCTTTTCTTTCTATCACATGCTTCCTAAGTTTCTTTATTTTTATTTTTCATTCACCCTTTTTTGGTTATTTTTACTCTTTCCTTGCTTTCACTCATTCTTATTTTCTCTCTTCTCATCACATAACCTCACTCTTAAATAATCCCATCAAACCCCAATCCTAACCAATCAAAGCAATTGGTATATGGAAGCTACTACTTGTCGTTCCTCTATCATTCAAAATTTTACACTAGAATGCATCATCAACAAGAAGCCTCACTCATCAAACAATCAAGGGGCAAAGAAAAAGGGTTAAGGTTCAAGGTGAGGTACCATTTAGTGATGCAAATGGCCATTCAAGCTTGTAAGGAAGTCTAAAAATGGATAAGCAAACTTGAATGTTCTATTGTTACCAAGAGTGAGCAATTCAAGCTTCAAGAGAGAGTAATTATATGTTCATTTAAGTTCAAGTTCATGCTACAAGGAAATCATGCATCTACAAATGAGTTCAACTTTCAAGCTATGAGATCCAAGCATGGTTCTTCCTTAACTTCATGTTCATTTAAATGCAATATAAAGACTCCAAGGAAGGGCACTGAATCAAACTCTTAAGTTGTTACTCACCAACAAAAGTTCATTAAGACTCTTAATGCATATGCAATGCAATCTTAATATGCACTAGACTCAATCCTAAAATGCATATGAGAAAAGATCCTACATGCTTATTTTTCAAAATTTTTAAATTTTTAGGGTTTTTTAATGCAAATAAATATGTACAATGCAATGCATGAGATGAATGACAAGTAAACAAAACAGAAAACAATGTGAGATAGTAGACTCTCCCCCAAACTTACTTCACACAGTCTCTTGTGTGATAGTAAACGTGAAAGAGAGATCAAAGGAGAAATAAAATATGAAATAACTACGTATTATAAAGGTAGAGTGCACTTACTTGAAGTTTGCCATGATGAGAGAATGGGATGAGGAAAGAGAGCTTGCTGTGACCTTGGTAATGTCGACATGACTTCCTACAAGATTTAGAACTCCCCCAAACTTGTCCCTAAACTTATTTAAACATATTAAAGCAAGATAAAAGATAAATATAGATATATACAAGGGATAAACATGGGAATGCCTCCCAAGTGCGCTTGTTTTAAGTCTCTAGCTTGACTTTGTGTGCTTGCTAGTCATAAGTATCAAAAGGCTGAGCCAATGCACCTTTGGTCCTTCTCCTACAAGAACAAGAAACAAGTGCGCAAAGGAGCACACTACTGTCCATAGAAAATAGACAGATTTTTCATCAAAGAGCTCTATTAAAGATGTAGCATGAATTATGAAATACTCTTTGAGGTTAAAATGGTCATGAGAATCAAAAGCATTTGGTGGAAAAATAAAGTCAACTAGAGGTTCAAATGAAGTTTTAACAAAGTAGTCAACGCTATCTCCATCAATCAAATAAAGCACAATATTCACATTCTCATGATTATTTTTAACATGGGGGTTTCTATCTCAAGCAAGAGTTATCCACATTAAGTTCATCCCCTAAATCACTTAGCTCAAGAAGAGGTCTAGATTTATCAAGCATCATTAACTCGGATTCGAGATCAATTGAAGCACAAAGATAATTCTTGTCAAAATAAACTTCAATGTGATCTCTGGCAAGCTTTTCTAGTCTCAAGTCATCTAGTTTCCTAGTTTCACATATCAGATCAAGACATTAATTTAAAAGCACCAGAGAATCAAGATTAGGGACAATGTTCTCACCACAAGGCAAGCAAATTTCTTCAAGTTGAAGTTGTAAAGAGGAAATTGTTGCACCTTCCAACTGGAGTGGTGGAACCCAATACATTACCTCATTAAGGGCACGAGCAACATCAAACTCATGTTGAGTAACTTCCCTACCTTCAAACTATGCTCTATCCCTATATGAGGTGTATCCGGACCCTTTGTGCTAGATATCTCATTGGCTTGCCCCAATACTGTCTCATTCTCTTAAGCCTTTGTAGCTCCACTCTTTGGTCTGGTGTGAGTATGTGTATATCAAAGGATGGTGGCTTCACATATGGCTGATCTTCAATGTGATCTTCAAATGTGTTTTCCTCTTCTTGTGGCTTCTCAAAGTAGCTTGAAGCCATCTCTACAAATAACAAAAGCTAGAAGAAAAGGTTAGTAACTAAACAAAGCAAAACAAAGGATAAGAAAATAAAGTTTAGCCTCAAGAAAGAATGAAATCCTAATGAAAGATTTATCTAGTTCCCCGGCAACGGCGCCAAATTTGATAAGGGTTTTTAAGCCTTAGAGCAAATCGATTGTAGTATTTTAGATTGTCGAACCACATGGAACTAGTGATCTAAGCACTAAGAGTACACAAACTTTCCTAATCTAAGCAAATAGAGAGTTCGATTTGTAACATGCTAAAGTTCCTAGAAATATAAACAAGGTGATCTCAAATCCAATCTAGAAACAATCACAAGAACTACTTTTAATCAAATGATAAGGTAGAATCCATGGGATTAAGGTAATTGATCTAAGCAATTAGTTTCCAAGTGAAGGTGCAAGCTTCAAGCAATCACAAGTCTCTATAGGTCTAGACACTTCAATAGACAAACTCTTTCTCAAGATGNACAAGGTGATCTCAAATCCAATCTAGAAACAATCACAAGAACTACTTTTAATCAAATGATAAGGTAGAATCCATGGGATTAAGGTAATTGATCTAAGCAATTAGTTTCCAAGTGAAGGTGCAAGCTTCAAGCAATCACAAGTCTCTATAGGTCTAGACACTTCAATAGACAAACTCTTTCTCAAGATGGATGCCCTTTTTCTTTTAAGCTTTAGGCATCAAATCTCTTTGGCCTAGATCAATCAAACAAACATTACGATTTTGTCTACTAACCATCTAAACTTTCTTAACATCAAATCTCTTTGGTTAAGTAGGTTTAGAGCAATACTAAGTTCATTCAAGCATTTTAATAAACACCTTCCGGGCATAAAATAGCTTAAGGTCTAGATGAGAGTGATCAAGTTTAATCTAGCATTAAAAACACTTAGTAAGCATAGAAACAAGTAGATCTAACAATAAACACCTTAACCCTTCTCTAATTATCTTAAATCTACCTAACCCATGGATTCAATAATTGTCTACTCAGAAATCTCCATGATAAACCTTAAACCCATATGAGATTCAAGGTTAATCATGTTAATGAGAATGAGAAACAAGATATAATATGAAGTACTTCCTTAAAATGATATAAAGATTCAAGCTTTTACAATGAAATACAAAGTTCTAGAGAGAAAATGAGATACTTTTGGGTTTTTCGGGGTCTAAAACTATATATAGGAGGTACAAATTCGTACTGGTTCAATTGAATTAAACCAGGTCAAACCGGTCAACGTTTTGAAATTGGTTCTTGTCTACTTTCAGAGCGGTCTGTTTAAGCCGCTCCGCTAAGCCGCTGCCAAGCTCGCGTTGTTCCCAGCGGTAACGTGGACCCGCTGCGTCATCTCGATGTCAAACAGGGAAGTGGAGATGCAGAGCTAGTGGCGCCTCAAGCTTCACTCACCATCGTCACCGGCTCGTGCTTCCGACCACCACAAACCCATCGCTCCTCCTTCTCTGTCACGTAGACCAAGCTTCCTCGTGGCTGAGCTCCTCCAAGTCGAGAGCTCCAAGCGTCATCACGACTCTCGAGTTCTCTACCTCCGCGTCTAATCCTCGGCATCAGGTCTCCATCTCCGCCGTGTGCTCTCAGCTCTCCTCCGTCACTGTGACTTCCGGTGGCATCGTCGTCGAGTTTCACGCCGTCGTCATCAACAGATCCGGCGGGAAACATATCGAGCACAACAATGGCGACTTCTTCTTATTTTCAAATCTGGTCCTCAGAATTTTAGATAATTACGAGTTAACCTAATAACTATTAAAAGTTTGGAAACATCCTCTCGATCAACCCCGGTTATTCCAATTCTGCGATCTGGCCCTTCCCATAATTGCCGAATGGTCCCTTGATTTATTTCATTATGGCCCCCAAAGTCTTGAAACGTGCAGCTTGACCCTTGATTTTTGCCATAAACTTCCAATTGTGCAATTTAAACCCTGTTATATGCAAATGGACACTCTAATGCAATTTATACACCTAATATGTAATCTAAATGATGAATATGAACTAAGATGAGATATTAAAAACCTATAAAAACATGAGATTCAGTTACCCCGACCAAAATCATTTACCAACCTAGTTCAATTTCTCACCGTTTGGATATGAAATCCATAATCTTGGAGGAAGATTCTGAGATTTAAGATTTGATATCTGAACTTCATTAAAAGAGTCCTTGTTTCTCTTCATACCAAAAAAAAACGTATGTATATCACTCTTGGTTACAACATACAACAACTAAAAAATTCATACCGAAACTAAGTACCAAAATAGAGAACTATAGATTTAATTTATGTACCCACAAGTCCCAAGGGCCAAACACACAAACATTACTACTCATCTTTCCACATCTCTACCCAATTCTCCTTTGCCTCTTTGAGTCCGAAAAGAGAGTTAGTCTTGGTCGGGTCAAGGTTTGTTGACAAGCTCCCGTACGCAATGCCAAGAGCCGACGCACCAAAGGTCACGAATGTGGTCAAGAACATGACCCACAAAGACACGTCCCACACGTTTCTGTCCTTCAACACGTCAAGTATTTTCAAGATGGCCACTCCCAAATCCAGTGGTGTCCCCAAAAATACCACAATCCTCCCCATCATCCTCTCGAACACTTCTTGAGGTATCGGTGGGTCGTCTTCCGGGTCCGGGTCTGACTTTCCAGTTTTTCAGGGTTTCTAGAAGGTTGAAACCCTTTTGGGCTCCCATGGAGCCTGGATTCATATCTGAATTTGTTGTTATTAGCGATTAGGGTTTTTGGATATTGGGGTTTGGTTTTGAGAATTGTTCTTGAGAGAAATGATAGTGGTGGTGTGTGGTGTGAGCACAAAAGACCTGTCTTCATCTTTCTTCTTCTTATGTTTTTTCTCTTAAGTACATTCATGAGATGTTTTTTCTCTTAAGTACATTCATGAGAAAATGACTAGAATAGACCTAAATTTTTTTTTATCACAAATATAGATCTTAACAATTAAAATGATCAAAATAGCACTTAAATGTTTTATTAAATATACATTTATACCTTTTGGGTTAACTAATTCTATATTTTTTTGTTTAGAGTTGAGGAGTAGGGTTTTTGGGGTAGGGTTTCGAATTTAAAAAAATTAAGAAAACTTAAAATTTTCAAAATAAAAAATGTTATTTTGGTCGTTTTAATTTTTGAGGTCTATTTTGTGATAAAAACTTAAAAGATGGTTATTTTAGAGAATTGCCCTCTATTCATTTGTGCATTTGATTATTTAGCTTATGTAGATAAGGTGGCATGCATCTTTTTTTTTTATCTTTGAGATATTACTTTCCTAGCCACACATTTCCTACTACTTATCCTTATTTCCAACAAAATAATATAAAGCCAATTATTTTTGAGAAAATGACTAGAATAGACTCAAAAAAGTTTTTTCTCACAATTATAGACCTTAACAATTAAAATGACCAAAATAGCACTTAAATGTTTTATAAAATATACATTTATATCCCTTGGATTAACTAATCTTAGATTTTTTTGTTTAGAGTTGAAGAGTAGGGTTTTTGAGATAGGGTTTCGAATTTAAAAAAAGTAAAAAAATTTAAAATTTTCAAAATAAAAAGTGCTATTTTAGTCATTTTAAATTTTGAGGTCTATTTTTGTGATAAAAACTTAAAACATGGTTATTTTAGAGAATTGTCCATTGTTTTTTCTTAAAGAAATATAATTGGAATACTGTTATATTTTTCAAAGTCTTGTTTTAAGAACATGAAATGAAAGTTTTGAAATTAAACAATTCATATTTTTCTTCATACTTTCTTCACTTCAATTCACTTTCATAGAATAAGAGTCAATTGAAATCTTGAAAAATGATAGACAACAAAGTCTTTCGATTCTTGTTATTAATATATTTTGCTTCACTTAAATACAATTTGTAATCAGATCTACTGTTCTATTTTACGAACCATTTGATCTTGGTAGCTTCACGTACGATTTCCCCACCTGCAAGGTCACAACACAAACAAAGAGCAAGGTAGAAACTTAACTTATGACGTAAGACAGGCATTGCAACACAATTTCTTGATAGTCAAGTTACGTACCCTACTAGGAGATAAATAGTAATAACGATCCGTGCTGTCCGGAGAGAGCACCGAAGGAGGCTGTGACGGTGGAGAAGCATAGAGTGTTGGCCTGAGAAACGGAGACTGACGATAAGGTGAATTTATCGGTGACCGGAGCAGCGTAGAGATCATGATGTTCGGCGACAGTGGACTTGAGCGATACGGCGAGATAGGAGATGCTATCTCCGATGGCGACGTGGTAGTGTCCGGCGAATGTGGCCTCGAGTTCCTAGATGTTGGCATGTTTATTGTTATCTTCTTATGAATTTCAACGTACCGATCTGTCTCATCAAATATTTCTTCCTACAAGATTCCTATATGGTTAATTAAAATATCCATCCCAAATATAACGTTAGTAATCTATTTATTATAATGATTACCTGTATGAGTTCCTCCATGACATCTTCCAAAGTTATTATGCCGATGACTTCTTCACCTTCATCAGAAATGCTATCAATGTATCGGATTGGACTCTGATGATTAACTTCACTTGATTTAATCACAGGAATGTTCAGAATAACGTTGGCGTCTTTATCAACCGTTCCTGAAATAAGAAAATAATTCTCATTTCAATACTTTATATTATTTTTGCTTTTCATGATCTTTCATATATCCTTTTTTTTTTTGGTCAAAGCTCTTTCATATATCCAAGTCTATTAACCATTGATGCTTTTGTCATGGACGGGAGTGTTGGTATTGGTACAGTTCTTGGTCCCAACGACGGCAGCCATGTGGCTTCGACCTGTTTGGAAGATGTTGAGGATGTCGTAGAGAGGTAGATTCAAATTGACCCTGCTTGCAGAATTTTGGAAGATAAACAATAAGCTCAGAAAGCAGTTTAGTTAATTTATTCGGAGAATGTATATATATACCTAGGCATTCTTCTGATGGGGAGATCTCTGATCGGTGTCTCGTCTTCAAGCCGGACTTTGATCAAGTTCTTGACCTATTCAGAACTGAAGTCAGGGGACAAAGTGTTTCTTAAGATTATTTACCGTGTAATAGATTTTGTTGCTAACTCACCAGAATATATCCGATGATAACAGTAGGATCCACCGAGTAAATAGGGATACGGCTATGGCCTTCACTTGCTATTAATCCCATTGTCTTTCTGTGAACACCAAAGAGGAAGATAAGAGTAACGAACTAACTAAATATATATTGTCGGAAAAGCACAATGAAGAACATACTCGTCGAGCCTAGAGTTTATATCAAGTGAAAATATCTTGGAGACTGGTGTCATTGCGTCTTTGGCACTCTTGTGGGACATGTCCAGAGCTCCTGATATGATTGTTGTTTCATCGTGAGTTAGTTCCCCGCCTTTTCCTGCCTAGTTATCATAGAAAAGGACACCGAATGACATAGGTTTGTTTAGCTTACGTATTGACAAAACAATTAAAAACACATCTCAAGTTTATGTAACAAACCTCGTTTCCATGCATAAACACAAATGACTTGAGCTCTGCTCGTCTGAAAAGTGTAGAATGTCTTCTTCCAAGCAATAAATCGAGTAGCTAAAAGCATGCATTGAAGGAAGGAAGAAAAGTTTGAAGCATTGTTTTGACTTAAAGCAATTTCTACTTCATTCTAATAAATTTCCGTTGATTTAAGCTGATTGAGTTACCTTGCTGATTGGATAAGCTAACGGAAAGAAGACTATGACAATAAATCTAACCAAAATCGATAGCTTTGCTCCGATGCTCAACCCGTATCGAGAGCATACAGCTTGAGGTATAATCTACAACAATGAAAAAAAGAACAGTCATGGCCAGTTCTGTCTCAATCCAAACATTGGCATAGTCCCCCAAATGTTTAAAGGTAAATATACATAGACATAACTCTCATATTATTTTAAAAGTTTATTAAAATTATAGTAAATGTTTATGGTTTATAAGAGTTTTGGGCAACGTTAAAAGAATCAGATCAGCACAGAACACTAGTTCAAATTCCACCAACCTCGCCAAAAGCAAGTATGAGAGTCACAGATATCAGAACAGAGCCCCAAGCTGGAAGCAGGGAATCCACAAAGACTGGTAGAGCCTTTTAGATTTTAGCAATAGAAACAGTCAGTATATACTAAATAAAAAGTTTGAAAAAAATAAAGTAAAGTTGTACTAAGGATATGTGCATAAGCATGATACCTCCATCGCCAAAGCATTGCCTATGAGGAGTGTACACAGCAGAAGATGCTGGTTCTTAACGAGTGGCAGGATCTTTTCTGGCCATTTCGTTTGCAGTTTTGTTTAATGATGTTAGTTTGAGGTTTTGAACTATGAAATAAAGAAGTATGAGTAGGGTCAAAGGGTTCATGACACTGACCTGCGTTTTTTCGGTCCGTGGCTTCACCAGCCTTGACTATGACCTCAAGTTCGACGAGACTAAGGGACATGAGACCAAGGGTCAGTCCTGACATTAAACCTGCGAAAGCAACTAGACCAAAACATGCTGTAAGGTAAAACCAGAACATAGGTTCACAGCAAGGGACATCATTTGCTGCCATTTCTGAAGTTTTTGTAGAGAGTAAAGAGTATATATGAATGTTGAGAGTGAGGGAGAATGAGTTTGGGTATCATAGTAACTTAAATAGTAGCTAGGGATGACATGGTAATACCAACTGCTACACCAGGATTTAAATAGATCCAAGAACCACCATCCAAAATTCTATAGTAAAGAAGTTATCTGATTCTTTGATCAGCCATTACATAAGGCGAAAATAATCGCTTTCCTAAGAACCTTTGCAACTCACAATCAACATTTTGGTCGACACGAAACACAATTTTTATGTCCACACAATTTTATTTTAATCATTGTCAATTTACCATTCTCGTCTGACCTGATATCACAGTCCTACGGGGTGATGATGGCGAAGACAGCAAGTACACTATTTGGTAAAACAAGGACAGGGCATGGCATGTCACATTTGACAAACTCACTTAGTCGCTATTATAAATCAATTGTGTGGTGTAGTTCTTAAACAAAAGGTGTGAGGAGAACAACAATAAACAACCCGCATTGTCAATTCATAGCAAGTGGAAACGATTCACCAAGTAAGACCAAATGTGCTTTATTCCTTTGCACAAAATGATTGATTTCTGGAAAAAGATTTTGTTAATTCAAGGATCTTCGGAAATACTAGTAAAACAAGAGAGCACGTTCCAAAGGAGCAGGTGGAGAAGTATTAAAAACTTGATGATAACAACAAAACAGTGACCGATTCACTAAAGAAACAAACAAACGATTCAAGGGACGACTACAACATAATAATATCTGTAAGGGTCAGATATAAGAAATGACCTCAAAAACGAGGCTAAAGAAGCTATAAAATAGTTCAGAAGAACAAAAGTAAGAGAAGCTAAATAAAAATTGTCCAATAACCAAGAAGTGGAAGACACAAATGCTGCCTTATAACGCTAAACACGTTACCATCAATTTAATGTATAATATGGGGGAAGAACATCGGGGTAGAACATCGTCTATATTTTCAAGGAAGACTAGTTTAAGATTAGCGCCTTGTGTA